CACCTGGGGCCTCTGTGAAGGTGTCCTGCAAGGCTTCTGGATACACCTTCACCAGCTACTATATGCACTGGGTGAGACAGGCCCCTGGACAAGGGCTGGAGTGGATGGGACGTGTTGATCCTGAAGATGATTCCACAAATTACGCGCAGAAGTTCCAGGGCCGAGTCACCATGACAGCGACCACATCCACAAACACAGCTTTCATGGAGCTGAGCAATCTGAGACCTGAGGACACCGCTGTGTATTACTGTGCAAGAACACAGTGTGACAAATCACATCCTGAGGTGGTCAGAAACCCTGAGGGAGATGCAGCTGTGCTGGGCTGAGACAGTGACAGGGACAAGGAGGACTGAGCCTCTCTTTGATGTAGGATTATGAAAGCAGAGGGGAAATGGAGTTGATTATCTGTAAAATATCTTTAGTGATGTTTTGATGAACCAGATCATTGTGTTTCTCCCACTCCGTTAGTGTGTTCATCAAACAGGTCCCTGTGAGGGTGAATTTTACCTGCTAAATAGGTTGCATTAAAGAATACCTGCAGAGGTGGTAAAGCATTACTTCTGGGTGTGTCTGTGAGGGTGTTTGCAGAGGAGACTGTCAGTCAGTGGAATGACTGGCATCATCTGCGCTCAGGTGGATGGGCAGGGTGCAATCAGCTGGGAGCTCAGACAGCTGGAAAGGCAGCAGGAGGCACAGTCATTCCCTCTCTCCCTCTTCAGGAGCTGGGACATCCTTCTCCTCCTGCACCTGCACATCAGCACACCAGGTTCTCTGGCCTTAGGTTTCAGACTAAGAGTCATCCACTGGTCTCAGGCCAGCAGAGTTGGACCAAGGCATGCTAGCAGATCCCATGGGCTCTGTCTTCCCTTTAATGTATCTGTCTATCTGTCTGTCCATAGCTATCTTTCTGTCTATCTATCTGAAATCTATTTATCTATCTATCTATCTGTATCTGTCTATCTATCTACTTATCAACTAATGCAACATCCTAAGAAGCTCCCAGGGTGACAAGAGCCACATGCAATCAGGAGATGTGCTGGGCTGAGCATGGAGGAGAAGTCCTCAGATCATGGGGGAAAGTTGGGCTGGGGTCTTGTAAGGGCTGGTGGGAGGGGGAACTTGAGCAAAGGTGAGTCTGTGCTCAGAATACTTGGCCCTCCTTTGCCATGTTTAAAATGAGCATCATAGTCTCATTCAAACTCCAAAGTTGTCCTCCTGGGGCTAAGATCAGAAATGTCCCCCAGGGCCTGGGAAACACAGGAGAATCCAGATCTCAGTCCTTCCCCATTTATAAGACAGGGCTCCCCACAGGCAAGTCTCATTCAGATAAGAAGGTACATTCATGCAGGGCTGGGGAAGCTCACAGCTCCCTCCTCACACAGAGCTGAGGTCTCTAGGATGGTTGGAGATGTGGTCTATGGCAAGGTGGGATGGTGTCTCAGCTGTCACTCATGGGCCCAAGGGACAGTTGTGACACATGATGGCAGGTTCTGGTCCTTTTGTCCCCAGGTGTCCCCAGGTGTCCTGTCCCAGGCAGCGGCAGGAGTGGGCCAGGGCTGGGGAAGCTGCGCAGACCCTCTCCTCACCTGTCCTGTGTGTGGATTCTCCACCAACACCAGTGGCTGCTGTGGGACTGGGTCCCCCGGCCCATGGGGAAGGGTCTGTCATGGATGAGGTGCCTCCGTGATGATGGGAACTTAAGTCATAGCCAGTCCGTAAAGAGTCGTCTTTGACTCCAGAAGCACGTCCAGGATCCAGATGTCCCTGCAGCTGACTTCCCCAGGAACTTAGGACACAGCCCTGTGTGTCTGTGCCAGACACAGAGAGGGGACATCAGGGTGAGCCCAGACACAGACCTGCAGGGGCACGCGGGGCCTCCAGGGGGTGCTCAAGGCCCACCAGGGGCTCATCCCCAGATCAGCAGCAGGTGTGGAGGGGAAGCTAAGGTTTCTTTCCAGATCCTGGAATTTCCTGTCTCTGCCTGTCATTCTTCTTCCTCAGGGCTCTTAGAGTTTTTCCTTGTAATGCCCTGACTTCTTCATGTGAAATGGGATGACTTGGGACATCATTTCAATACAAATTTAAGCTATTTTTTTTTTGCATTATCTGCTACCCATAAACTTTCAGTACAATCTTTAAAAGATTGTACAAGAAATAATTGATCCTCAGTCAATATCCTTACCTCATGGAAGGGTTTTGTGTTTGCTATGCAGTATTGGTCATTGAGGAGGAAACAATTCTCTGGAGAGACAACTCTGTATATGCCGGGAATTTGTTTAGCTCCTGCCTTTTACCTGCCTTATGTGGGGAGGAACCATCATTTCAGTATGTCCTCCCCTCCATC